CCCCCCCCCCCCCCCCCCCGCTACGGGTCTGATATCACCTACGCATGTTAGCAGGAGCTCTTGGTCTTTACTACAGAAAAACTGGAGCCAAGGCGGTGTATAAAGCCCCCTTTACACCTTTCTGCGCCCCGTAGTACGGTCCGTTTGAGAGTAAAAAAAAACAAAACAATCTTTACATGCTGATCATTGAGCCTTCATTTTGCAACCAGAGCGATGCTCGTGCCTCCTGTCTTCGACCACAGCGATGCCAGTTTCATGGTCGGACAAAGGACGTAGAAATGAGGTCGTCCAGTGTAGGGGTGGGGTGGGGGGGGGTTGTACAGCATTTTCACAGTTTGTATGAAGCAACATGCCTCTGCTGCTTTTTAAAAGAAACTTACACGAAGCCTATATAAAGGACGGCATCGAGGTCGGGTTGGACAAGAGAGTTTTAGCCTGCAAACTTGGCTCAACAAAAGACCTAAGTTTCTACTTGGACGCAAGATAAATCAGTAGTATATGTAGTACTGTTATCCCCATCTTGGATCCAAGCAATATCTGACTGGATTGATATGGATACATGCATGTCTTAAACTTAAAAAGCACGTTCCATTTAGGGTCTAAATGTTAATACTGTTTTCGGGATAAAATTACTTTGTGATAAACCGACCTAATGTCTATATTGATATACAGCACGGATGGCGAGAACCAAATTTATAAACCGACTCACATGGCTTAATGGTAACATTAAAAAGGTCATGTTAAGAGACACTTAAGTTTCTTTGACTATAGAAACGATGAAAACTGTCAAAGATGGAGGTTTCATAAAATTAGCATATATCAAGGATCAGCAGTTAGAAATACAAACTCGGTTCATTTTGAAATGTAGACTGTTAGTTTCAACGGCGTTACCTCAAAAACCTTTAGGGTCGAGTTATTGTTTCCATGGAAATAAAAGATACAATGTAGTAGTTTTTAAAATGGCAATGTGAAGCCGACACCATTGCGTAAGTGATAATGTATAAAGTCAAAAACGTGCGATATCCCCAACTTTTTTACACACCGCATATACATGTACCTTGTATTCAGGTAAGAACATTAATGGTACTATGGGACATAAAAGGGGCTAGGAAGGGCAGGTGATTCTGAGCCTGGTTTAGTGGACAGAAATTCCACAGCTTTTCAAAAGGTGAGGATGGCTTTCTTTTTCTTCTTCCATGTGTTATTTCGTTCACTGTGTTGTAACGAAAATTGTTGTAAAGATTAGGCTACTTACGAAGGAACTGAAGACAGCGCACAGGACAGTATCAACTGATTTATTTACGGTATCAATTGGCTTTTATATTAAAATATTCACGTTGTTTTCCACTGGACCAGCACTGTGCCGAGTTCATAAAGGACATGGCGCCCGTGAAAATTTTGATCTATTATACTGCTACCTGATTCGCAATATTCTTTTGAATGACGAGGATTTAACAATTAAATCATTTTTGATGCTGGGTATGACTAAACAAATGAGCCTTTTATGTTTATGTAATAGGGCCGAAACATAGGGCCGAACGTACTATCCAGTATACATGTAGATCTAGTATAGAAATATAGCATACATGTAGCTTTAACATGAAACTCTCATCAAATGGACACACTTTGAATATTTATTTGTCCTCTCAAATACTGATAGGTCTGAAATGTATTCTTTGAAAAGAATAATGAATAAATCTGGATATTTGGATGAAGGGGGACACATTAGAACTACTGTTATTAGTTAAACATGTAAGTTGAGCACCACGTGTTTAAAATTGAAAAGGATTATGCTTCGTGAACTTGGATGTGGACAGTCGGCCTTTATACCACAAGTATCACATTATAGTTTATCTAGCAGTTTGTCTGAAAAGGTAAAGCAACAGAATGATCGTCAAAATAATTATCATGCGGTATAATTCCTGTTACTGGGACATAGTTTCAAAGCGAAATTGATCTGTAAAAGTTGTTTGGAACGAAACTTATTCTATGTAACTAGTATTTGTGCACGTAGGTATGGTGTATTGACACTTAAGCATGATGAAGTTAATTGCTTACATCTATATTCATTATACTTTTAACATTTAAAGCAGGATATGATAAACAATTATACTGCGTGTCTAGTGTATTGCAAGAATGAACATCATTATCAGGAATTCTGATTGCTATTTATTGGAATAAGAGTCATCCCATAAGCGACCTAGAATATGCTCCATCACCGCCAACCTCGACAGTATTTTAATTTTCTTTCCTCATGTTTTGCCCCTGTGTTAAACCCCGTTTACCACAGCAAACTATGTTGTATTAAGAAAATGAGGAAATGGACCCCACCAAGCAATTAAACTTCAAGCTACCTTTTATATTGTCATTTTTCCCCCCATAAACACAGCGTGACGTGGTGAGTACGTTTCTGTTAAGGAAGACATCAACTCCAATAAAAAAGCAATCAAACTCTGTATAATGTTTTCTGATGTTGCGGTGCACTATATGCTTTTGCGCAGAAAACTAGATTCAGGTTAAGAAATAGCTGTTTTTTTTTTTTTTTTGATAATTTGAATAAAACGTGCGACACGGTATGCGGTTATTCAAGTTCCTTATTTGCGACTTATTGCCCAATCATACTATGTACATGTAACATTAATGTAAAGATCCTCTCCATGTTTGGTTAGCTAGTTGCACACTATTGGGGTATCGCCTTTTAAAATGCGTGATCCGGTGTTTTCATCTGATATTTTCAGCCCATATCAACACAAATGCTGATAATACAAAGTAGAATTTCAGAATCAGTAGGATTATAGTCTACCTTACACATGATAAATTTACATTATGTGGTATCCATGAATAAAACCCCCAATCCATAACGCGGTGTGAATATTCTGTGTCGTAAGCTGTAGGAAAAAGTGCTGTAGGCCTCCCCGACTCCCCAGGTTCAAAAGAGTTTTTTAGTCTTTATGTATTTGACTAAAACCAAGTCAAAAGCAAATTTTCGGCGCTGGAGGTCGACGATGGGGGAAGGGATGGAAGGGGGTATCTAACAAGAAACAATATGCTACTGGGGTGGGTAACAGCAAACCCCTGTACTTGTAGATGGTCAAAGGTTATTAGGGCGGCTGGAAGCAGCGGAGCATAACTCTACTTGCATATTTTTTTCTGAATTTAAATTGCCCGTGACACTGGTGAATGCACTAACCAATGTATTGTAACCAAATGTCCCACTGCTGTGATGATAATGTAAAACATACACATTTTCTGCTGCATATGTGAATGTATTTATATAATTCACAGGTGAAAGAAACAACGAGAGTACACCATGTTGTGTCACACGACCCTGGTACTGTATTGTCTATGTCTTGGATTGATTTCACAAGGTAATCATTTTCTTTGCAAAAATCAGACAAATGTGATTTTACCAAACCGTTTTGGAAACGGTGACCCAGAGCACAGTCTTTATCTGTCCTGATTAAATAATAATTCTATTTGTCTTTTGTCTGACGAAATCCTGGTAATGTTTCTATTCGTCAAAATTTAAAGTAAGAAAACTTGATGTTAAAGATGAGTAAACCCACGTCTTTGTTGTTCAACAGGGATGGCTGTGAACCTTTGGCCTCAGTGGTTGGTAGGAACCACAAACAATAACAACAACAACAACAATAATTTCGGTAAGTTAATCTTATCTTTTCTTGTCTTAGCGTAAACTATTATAAAGGTATTGCGATGTTCTGGATTATTCTAATGACGACTTATTATTCTAGGTTACTAATACGTTGAAACTTTCTAAAGATTTCCAAATATACTCAAAAATTTATAAATATTTTAATTGAAAAAAGACACCAGTATATAATTACTATGAGGTTTTGTACATATATTAAATAAGGCGTTTATAATACTCTCTAACGATGCAATAAGTTCTATTTTTATCTGTACGCAGGTGGTCCTTGGTGGCTGCTACCGGCAACCACCACCACTGCCACCACCACCAACAACAACAACCCTCCCAGCAGCAATAGTAAGTCCCTTATTTATTATCAAAATTCTTTGTTGGGATTCAAGGGAAAGTTTCCTGATTGTGATAATTGATATTAGTTTAATTCTAAATGCAATTGACTTTTATTGCACTGAATTTGGTATTTAAAGGACAATGTTCATGTAAAAATCCATTTCTCGAATTTTGAAGATTCAGCACTCAATCTATACACTAGAGGTATGTTTTAATCGATCCCCGCCATTTAAAAATTATAAAAACAATCTATTAATAGTAAAAAAGCATTTTAGTAAACCTCACCTCAATATGCATAAATGAAGCAACAGATCTGGGTCACGTGGTACTGTGACGACAATCACGATAAAGGTCTATGAGACTCAACTGAGCTGCATGGTGCAAACAGACAGAATGATTTTGGAAAGTTGTGTTGAACGGAGTTGAGCAATTTTCTTTATGCCTCAGTGTGTTGCCGTGGGATTCACAAAAATTGAAGCACTCCTTGACTATCTTTCTTTATCTGTGACGGTCTTCCGTGACTAACTTGCTAACTTTGGTGACAATAGTTGCGATCCTCGCGATCTCGGTCACCTGAGGTGTTTTAGATCATATCAAAAGCTGATAGTCTTTTAGATACTGTCATCAGTTGGCAAGCTTACTAATTGCTGATGCATTTTTAAATTCATTGTATTTGACCAAGAGCTCGTTAACAATAAAACCTGTTAATTATGCACCGCTGCAATTCCCAAGCCAGGTAATAACAGGTATGAAACTCGTCTTGGTGGGCTTTCATATTTTTCAATATATCTCATTTATTTCATGGGGTTATTTTATTGGTATTTGTAAATGACGTTAAATATCAATACTTAAACAATTAAGAGAGAACAGTTTCATTAGCTCTGTATGTATATATTCAAATTCTTGTTTTTCTTTTTATCAAGAGCTTGTAAAATATGTGGGTATTACCTCCAATATATAAAAAGAAAAACAAGACTTTGAATTAAACAATTAAGTTCTAACACGGTCGCGAACATTAATAAAAGAAATTGCTCTCAGGGTATCTTGAAGCTTCCGTGGAAGAAAACGTGTTGAGGAAAAACAGGAAAAAGAGCGTTATATTAAAGAAAAAATGGGAACTGCTGTAATAAAATGGTTCGTTATCCTAATTCGTTTATGCTTTGAGGATTTGTTTCTGAAGATTATTTCATCTGAAATATTAAATAATTTAAAAGATTGATCATTTTATAACTTGAAACGCAAATTCTGCGTCAGTACGCAATTTTTTTTTTTTAAATTTGTAAGCTTATAACACCGTGCTATAAAGATCTACTCAAGAAAAAAATTTGCTTGGGTAAAATTGAGTACGGAATGAACTGGAGACACTTGGCTTGTCATTAAGTTTACACGAAAATATGTCAGGTAACTTTATACTGTCTTTGAAAGAGTAAAGATTGAAAGATAATTTTAGACAAACTTTGACGGGGGAAATACCTACAAAGAGTAATGGGCTATTTCGCCAACATCTTGTTGAAAATTTTACACTGCAATTCTATTCAAATAAGCTAAGGAACTAATTGCCAAATTAATACTCTCATCACATAACAGGGGGGTAACCAGACCTGCAAAAATTGTACGCACATATTTAAAAAGATTACAAGCACATACAGCAAAATGTAGACTTACGCAAAACATGAAGGACAGCGTAATCACAGCAAATGTACCTCATATAGTAGCTTAATTTCCATTAATAATAAAATCATCATTTAAGTCAAAAATATTCTTGCGATTTAATAACTATTTTAATTTACCCAGAACGGTATATTTATTTTAAAGGCGGTTAACTGAAATATAGTTTTATGATTTGTTTGTGAAAATTGCCCATGTCACCCTGTTAGTTTGGAGGTCTAAGCTGGATCAAGTCCGTGTTAAAATTCCTATGAAGTTGTGCAGGAAAAATTCTTCCTTTCTTTCTCTAGCTCCTCGATAAACCTGGTGTTCAGATTTTATCTAGTACCCCCAGGTCTACGGGAGCTGCGCTTTGTAACTAACGCACAGGTAGATTTTTACCTGAGATAACTGGAGTAAAGCTTAGATAGAGAGTGCGTTCGATACAAGCAAGACAAATTGAATGCCATTTAACCCTCTAATTAAGAGGTAAAGGAAGTTCCAGTTAGATGGATGATTAAGATAGGACTTGTAAAGGTAACGGGCATTGTTTACCTCAGTTTAATAAAAGTATGCAAGACGGAGTGTCAGCGGTTTAATAAAATAAATTGAATTTCACAAATAACATGGACCTCATATGCAATAATCAACATTTCCCTTAACTCATTCAAATGCAGTGTTTTATACAACTTGGGATAACCATAATGAAATGCTTGTTAAAGAAATGACTAGACGGGAAATGGTTTTACACAGCTTCACGAGGATTTAGACCCCTCGGGTAAGAGATTTGAATGAGTATAAACTTTTATCAGAAGCCAGAGAAGTCATCTTACAGGTAGACAATGCAGCTCAGTTTGACAGCTAAGCACGCTCTGTTCTCCAGTGGCTCGATTGTCGTCATTGGACCACGTGACCACGTAGCTCATTAACTCCCAGGCCGAGCAAATAGGACGTTTTTTAAAGCCAAAAATTTACAAAATGAGCTTTTAATTTGTGTATTTGGATAAAGATATCGTTAGTTGGGCATGTTTTCTGAAGAATATGTTCCGTTCAGGCCATTCTGACGGCATGAAGCAAACCCTTTAAGTTATAACACATGTATGTTATAAATAAAAAAAATGCCACTGACTAAATACCCCGGTAATGGGTTTTGGTTATTTATTTGATATAGTTTCTGAGTATTTTATACGATATCACTATGTATGTATTTATTTTGAAAGGTTTCGACTGGTTCCAACGCGTCTTCAACAACAAGAATGGAGGACAGAAAACCAATGGCAACAACAACAATAACAATAACAACAACAGCAACAAAGGTGGCAACAATCCAGGTCCGTTGGCGTCCTAACAGTGAATGGCAATGTCTTTTTTTATCATTCATCATCATCATTCTAAATTCGTCGCCATTATTCAGAAATGATCCTTTTCAATAACATTTACCAAGTTACATTAATCCTTTCAACCTAGTTTATGCCACTTTCATGGCAGAACTTTTTGCCAGATTGTTTTTAAACGGTTTAGTTAGTGTTACATAATGGAATAAAGAGTAAGTTAGACTGTAGAGTCAACAGTTTATGTCAATACATAACAAGTGTTTCATTTACTTCCTTTTCAGCTTGGCTTCCCGATAGTTTGTTTGGCGCAGGGGGAGCACCCTCGCCACCAGCTGGCGCCTCAATCCGTGCAGCTAGCATTAAGATAAAGCCGGCAATGGTCAAAAAGAAGCTGCGTATGGCGATGAAACCCGCCGGAGACGGTCACTCTTATATCATAAAACTGAAAGAAAACGCAATAGGTGGGATATGAGAGCCTTCATTGTTTTCAATATTATAATCAAACATATCTACTTTTTGAGGTAGACGTTTTAAGATGTGTAACATCGGGAAAAATCCATAGGTTAATATGAAACAATATGGTTAACATTTTTTGTGCAACCATTTGAATTTGACGGTCAAAGTTAAGACTTTTTTAAGATTGCCTTATATATCAATTACTATGAACGCTAATCTGCATCGGCATCAGCATCGGCATCGGTTTATGCTAAAATATCATTATTCTTAAATCTAACTCCTAAACTACTGGACTATGCTATATAATGTAGACTGCCTGATTGGTTTCTGCTCGAAGACAAAGGCAAACTGATTAAAACGTGTATCATGTACATGTACTTTGCAACAAATGAAATTTTACTGAAAACGATCTATGTCAACATTTCCCTTATCAAGGAGTCCATTTCTAGAGTCGAAACTGAGCCTTAAAGGTATGATTTTGGGCTAATATTTTTTGCAGTTGGAGCGGCAGTAGTTAACATGGGAGATGCAATTCGAAAGAACAGCAAAAATATATTTGCTGCAGGAGTGAAAAAAGTAACAACAGTGGGGAGGAAAAAATTCCTTAAGGTCCGAGCGGAAAAACGGTACGAATCACTTCCGTTGTTTTGTATATACAGTTTCATATATGTACTATTCAATACCACAGTGGAATACTATGCATAGCCGAAATTGCATTGACTTCTATATACAGGGGGGTATGTTAAGGTATTTTAAACAGATAAACAAACTGCTCCGAACACAATATGAGGCTTGAACTTAAACGGGAACATTTCTTTAAAAAAACAAGGGTAATACGTAATCAAGGTTGAACATTTAAGTAAATTGCTTAATATTTGTAAATTGATCAAAATATGATTGATTGGTTTCAGTGCTGTAGAGGAGGTGTTGAATTTCAATGAGGTGGAATACATTGAACAGGATGTGCAAGTTTCGGCGGCTGCGTATTGCGCTACCGAATCAAACATTGCTTCCTGGGTAAGTTGACATAAAGATAATCAAGATATTTAAACTATTTGTTTCTCATACCATTTTCTTTTAATGAGGGGGGGGGGGGAAGATGGATTTTTTCATTTTCACGTTTTCAGTGCTTTCATCAAATTTTATCGCATTTTTAGACAAAAGTTGTTTGTCTATTTTTAAATTTTTTTTATTCATTTTCGGTGGGGTTAGACAAACATTTATGTGAAAATTAACAAATGCTATTTATTTAATCAAACAAATTCACAACACCCTACCTTATTTTGATATCATGTTCTCATATTCTTTTCTATCGAGAGAGAGGGAGGGAGAGCATTGCAGTCTTCCATGTTCCATGTTCAGCCTGTACCGCATACTTGTATTCCGTATATCTAAATATCTTCATGGGCATCTGCCATTTTTGTAGTTTATTATGGCTTTTCCAGTATATAATAGATATATTTATTGTGCTAGAACCAATAAAGATTATTAAAAAGAATATTTGATATTAACCATCATATACCCATTGTTCAACGTTGAAGTATTACTTTGTCAATTACTCTATTTAACCGTGATAGGGTAAGGACAGTCTTGACAAGCGAAACGCCGTTATGGACAATAAATACAGTCCTCTGGGTAAGTTAAACTAGATAGGATGTGTTAACATATATATATATATATATATATATATATATATATATATATATATATATATATATATATGTACTGATAGTGATGCGTTTTAACATTTGCACCAAAAAAAAAAAAAAGAAAGAAAGAAAGAAACAGAGAAAGAAAAAAGTGACACCCTTTGTGATATTGGCATCTGCTTGAAGGTTTCAAGAAAACTGAAACCGGTGTTTGTTTTTTCCTGTGATTGGGGTGGGTTGGTGAGACTGAACGGGGTCACTTAATTAGTCTCATGAGCCACCAAATAATGTTATACGTGGTAAGCTTAATTGTTGTAAATGGCATTTTCAGGAAACGACGGCGCAGTCGTAAGGACCTACGTTGTTGACAGGTGGGTGGTTTCTTTTGCTTTGGAAGGTTTCTTATAAGTTCGTACAGGTTTAGAATCCAGCTTGCGTTTTTAATGACATTTTTACAATGAATGGATACACATATTGTTAAGAATTTTAATTGACATTATCATTGATGCATCTACAATATATATATATATATATATATATATATATATATATATATATATATATATATATATATATATATATAATGTATTAAGAGGGCATTCACAACAGATGATCCGCGGATCAAATATGGCGGACCCTACATGAAAGAAAAGCCGACTAATTCGCTGATGGTCTCCCCGTTCGTCCTTGCAGGGATCGTGTAATGGCAGGTGTGAAGGCGGGGAGACCATCAGCGGATTAGTCGGCTCTTCTTTCATGTAGGATCCGCCATATTTGATCCGCGGATCTGTAAATCCAAGGATCATGTGTTATGTATGTCCTCTTAGTGAATATTTTTTCAATAACTTGTTGTAGTGGAGTTCGACAAGACCATGATGAATTCACAGGTCGGCTGATATTGGGGGTAAGAGTCAAACGCCTTTGTATTTATGAAATACTGTTACATTTAATAATAATAATAATGATTTAAAGAATAAATAAATACATCGAGTAGAAGTGCAGTAAGAAAAGTACAAAGTGTTACTTATCAAAATGTTTCAGTTTATAAAGCATTGAAAACATTCAATTTTCTTTATTTCTATTGTTTTACTAGTTATATGTATGCACATGTGCAACAAGCGGATGTGTTGTGCGTAGACTCATCGTAACATACGCAAAAAGCAAAAGAGAGCCCTGTACTTTATGTACATTTGTACTGTAGTTATAGAAGTTGGAGGCACATTTGGCGCTAGACATTGTCAGCTTGTTTATACTAAACATTTAATTTACCTGGGAAATTTCAGCTAAATTACATTCCATTACCAAGGTAGACAGTATCCAAAACCGTTGACAAATTTACAATCCATAGTTCCATTTTTGCAAACTTTCTACGTTTGAATGGACTCTTACGTGGAAATGGCTAAAAGATTCTTCTCAATGGTAACACAGCCATTCAAAATTCGAAACCATATTTATCAATCATGATACCAATAGCTTTGTACAGAATCTCGTCCCACCTTCGCATATTAAGATTCAGTGAAGAGAAATTAAATATTGTTATAAAAAGGTCTAGCGCACAATGTAAGTCTTAACATAATTATAAACTCCGTGTCGTTTAATAATGAATTCTTAAAAGAATTCAATCCTTCTCCAGCCGAGTTACACAAACGACAATCCGCAGCCATCCAGTGGGGAAGATCAGTTTAATCACGGCACATTAGTTGCAAGTGAGTAGGACTTAGGTCGCATTCAGAACAGTGGACTAACTAGTCTGCGGATCAAATATGGCGACACACTTTTAAAAAAACTTATCGTCTAATCCCTGAATAGACACTGATTAGATTCCATGTGGGGTTTACGCAACAAGCATAAGTGGGTCGACCATATTTGAACCGCGGACTAGTCAGTCCTTTGTTCTGGATGCGGCCTTTATGACCAGTGCATACATATATTCTTCAGTTACCTTAGTAAGTATTAACAAATATGTTACATATACCTGCTAAGAGGTGTCTTGTTACGTATTACCTACTTCTATCGTTTCTGCACTGATGCTAGATACATGTACCCTTATCTCTCGTGAAATCCATCCTGATCAATATGACTCATTCTAATAATAATAATAATAATAATAATAATAATAATAATCTTTATTGAAATATTGCAACCCGAAGGTTGAAGTGATACATATATATTTTTATTTATTTATTTATTTTTAAATGACATTTTTATTTACGTCAGAGAAGCCTGGTCATTTTTGGCCCTGTTGCACTCTATAGTCGCTCTCACCTCCCTGGGGAGGATTCTATCAACAATCACAAACCAAATGTTTTGTATATTTTCTTTCTGACACCCAGGTGCCATCGCTGGAAATCTTTACGGCGCATCAAATAAAGCCACCCTTGTTTCGGTTCGAATTCTGGATGGCCAGGGAAACGGTTTCACGTCGTAAGTCTATGACCGCATTCACAACAGCGAACTTACAGGTCCGCGGATCAAATACGGCGACCCACTTAAAAAATTGCCACATAATCCCCTAGGATTACGGAGGGGATTACGCGACAAGCATTCAAGTCAGTCCGCTATATTTGATCGGCGAATCTGTTATTAGTCCGTTGCTGTAAATGCGGCCCTTAAGTTTCATAAACCCCATTATGATATTACATTACTTGAGTAGAGTTTCAATGTCTTTTTTACACTGTCATTGTAATATCTCTTTGACATTTATAGGATTCGTCACCTATGGTATATCATTTAAGAAAAATCTGTTGTTTTAAAATTCATTACAAGCAGTATAACGCTTTAAAGAGAAATAAAAACTACTATTTCTGTTCCTATTTCAAACTCGGTCTTTGCATAAATACATTGTTTGTTGTATCATTGAAATGTAGTTTTAAAACACTTTCTGACTTGCAAAACTCTCGAGCAAAAAGTGACATGCCGTGAAACATTACAAAACATGACAAAAGTTTAGCTTGACGCAGAAACTAAGCTAAATGAGCCATTCACAACTAGGTTCTAGGTATAAGAATTACTCTTTTCTATCATCTTACTAGTATCTAAAGAGGCCACAAAAATGTTATAGAACATCCTCTACATTTTAGTGATTTGGTTACCGCCATAGGGTACGCAATCACTGACTGCGGGCAACAACAAGGAATTAGATGTACCATCAAGTAAGTGCCTTTGTACAAACGACGTAGCAATTGCCCCTTTCACTCAAATAGCTCTACAGTGGCAGATTCTAAGTATTAGTGAGTAGTTTGTCAGTTTTGGCCTCTACCGCCTTCTATCTAGATTTAATATAACCAAAGAATCGCTTAGTTACAGTTTCCAAGCCGTTGCCTTAGTTGCATTTTGTTCTATGAATCGCTGTCTCTGTGACAACAATACAGTTTTTCGCCTATTTTTTTCTTTTGCCTTAGAGTGCGTTTTATTGTCCACTCCCGTCATTGTTTTTTCCTCATTTTGTAGGCTTGTGTTCGGTTTCAGTAAGCTCTTGCTCGCTGAAGCCCATATGCAATGTATATTAAAACCAAATAAGTAAAATAGGTAAAAGCGATAGTACATGTATTCGTGAAAAAAAAAAAAAAACACAACATGTTCAACAAACATAAAGTAAATGATACAAGATGTAAAGCGACCAGTTCATATTCGTCTTTATAACTTCCAGCCTTTCATTATCCGGGGGAGGGACTTCCCAGGCTGCTGCAGATGCGATTGAACAGGCAGTACAGGCTGTGCGTATACACATATGACATACACTTTTTGGGATAATAAGTGACTGTATTTATTCTGCGCTTTTATCATAAATGACATAATTTATTATNGTAAAATAGGTAAAAGCGATAGTACATGTATTCGTGAAAAAAAAAAAAAAACACAACATGTTCAACAAACATAAAGTAAATGATACAAGATGTAAAGCGACCAGTTCATATTCGTCTTTATAACTTCCAGCCTTTCATTATCCGGGGGAGGGACTTCCCAGGCTGCTGCAGATGCGATTGAACAGGCAGTACAAGCTGTGCGTATACACATATGACATACACTTTTTGGGATAATAAGTGACTGTATTTATTCTGCGCTTTTATCATAAATGACATGATTTATTATTATTATTATTATTATTATTATTATTATTATCATTATTATATATTTATCGAGTATCACAAAGAGCAAGGTCTGGGAACGATTTAAAGAATTTTACATACATTAAATTACAATTTTCTATTTATATTTCATAAATGTTCTGGTTTAGAACGTCTGATAACGACATGGCTGTTATAATAATAATGTTACTACACGTACTGGTTCTCACGCTTTTTCGGTTTTTCACGTGTACGTGTGTAAATTCAAAACAATATCAACATCTTTTCATATTTTATTACATTACTCATTTTGTTTTATTTCAGAACATCCCAGTCATAGGAGCAGCGGGAAATGGCGGTTATGATTCATGTAATACTGTGCCCGGAAGCGCACCAGAAGCGTAAGTAAAACCCTTTTTTTCTCGTACGCTTAAATGATTTAAAGAGGTATGTATAAGCTTCTTATACACCTCTTTTTCATTACTTCTTTCACCATTCTGTTATATGGCAGACAGTGACAGCAAAGCCTTTCTGGTGGACGTAAATTTAGTTCACAAACAATTTAAATATCTAAATATCTGAACATCTTGCTTACACACACACACACACACAACAACAACTCACGTGCGGCTATTTTAAGACACTTATTTACCCAAAAGGATAAAAAAAAAAAAATAATGCACACACACGCATGTATGTATATCTTATGCAACAAACACGCCACATGATTCAATTATGTGATTACCGTATATAAAGCACATCCTATATTCCAGTGACATTGAGGATGCTTGAGGTGATGCTCTTCTGTTCTTTTCCTTTGTTTTAGTATCGTAGTGGGCGCGGTGGATAACCAATTTGCATTTCCAAGTTCAATATCGAATTACGGAACATGTATTGATATCTTAGCTGCCGTAAGTACGGTTTTTGTTCTAGAAGCTTGCATGGTTTAGAAATATAATTTCAAATGGCGAGTACGATATGTTTTACGAAAATCTTGAAATAAAATTTACGTTATTTTGTAATTATGTTTTGTGTGTGTGTGTGTGTCGCTGTATTTTCCAGTAGCTAGCTCCTTTGCCTATGTCTCCTTTTCCAGGGTGTGGATATCTTAGGTGCTAGCAGTTTCGGTCCAACTGCAACCACCACAAAATCCGGTAAGTTTCCCAGCTTTCTCTTCACACAAAGTAAGATATTCAGTACATCACCTCAATGTATGACATAATGTATGGCTTTGATTTCTCTCTCTCTCTCTCTCTCTCTCTCTAACACACACACACGCGCGAGCGCACACACACCATGTTGTTATTAATGTGCCTATTGATGTACCTATCACACTATATCCTTAGCATTTCAATCGTTACAGGAACTTCCTTCGCGACAGCTTATGTGGTAAGTACAACCATATCGCCTCTCATGTATGTACTGGTATTTTACATTAGTTTTCATTAATATCCATGTGTTGTATTTTGCCTTGCATATTACAAAACAATGATAATTGAGTCATTGTAGGGTTTTTTTACATTCTTCATACTTACTCTTAGTTTTGAAAATTGGGTCTAAGATGCATTAAGTTGTCTTGATTCTGACACTAAAAAAAATTTCCAGCTTCATATTAAGCCTGGCCAATCTTCCCTAAAACACTGAAAGTCTTCATCTTACGTAATCGACTCAAAACGTTTTTGCACTTTTAGCTAAGACCCAACAAACGCCTGCCTTTTCGTGAAGCATGTCTTAATTTGCTACATTCTGTTGAAAATGCTGCTTTACACTGTGCAGGCGGAATAATACCACAAATTTACTAATTCCATTTTACAGACCGTGTCAAGCAAATTCAGTTTATCAATACAATATATGTACATAGACGAATGAAATGGTATTCAGACTAATTAAAAACCTGTTGTTTTCGCGGTTATTTCAGACGGGCGTGGTCAATGACTATTTAAGTGCTGTTCCATCGGCTTCAGTATTAACGGTTAAGCAGTTTCTATCTGGTTGGTAAGTCTATCCGCCTTGAATACTCAAAAGGGGGATGAACTCCCTACGCGAAGTTCATTGATAAGTGTGACATTTTGCCTATTTCACACACAGTACATTTTAAACAATTTGTGAACCGATTGTGAGTCACTACATACCTTGGCTTTCTTCGTCCCAAATGCGCACACGAGATAAATAGCACAAGTACAGAGCCATGGTGAGTTACAATTGAGATTGACATAGCATGGAGAAAATGTGTACAATATGTCTTTTCAGGGCTACCAGAAATGCAGTGAGCAACGTTCCTAGTGGCACGGATAACGTTTTATTGTATGTTGGGTGTTTTTGGTAGTTAGTGACAAAAGAAAAAAAAAAAGGATGAAAGGAATTCAGCTGTCAACTTCCAATAACTTCAAGTGAAATGATAAAATAGTGTAACATTTCTGAATCTGCAACAAAGCAATTGATGCAACACCAAGTATGGCGCTTTTCCAAACGTTTGCTGTTTGTTCCCTGTACGGATTACGGGCGACCTCGGATTTTGCTCTAGGACTGACCAGATTATGAAACGATCTTGGATACTGGCGGACTTCGAGTTGCAGAATTACTACTCTTTTTCGGCAGCGTTGGCTTACAGAGCAATCTCCATAACAGTAAAACCTGGAAACTATCTTTATGGAAAAGCCCATAATTTTCTCTTGAATAATCATTTGCACTAAAGAAAATCCTGTATATATTGTTTATCTTTCCATTCATTTCGTATTTCTGAGGTTCATGATGTGAGTCCTACTAACACACGGCCAGCTAGCTTACATGGGTGGCGACAAGTCTTTCGATAACTATGAAAAACGATTGGTTTTTGCATGGATAGGTATAGTTTTATTTCATCTAGAAACCCTACTCATATTTTACATGGCAGAAATATGTGTCTACCTGTAATGTACACTTTATATAAATGTGTGTGCTTAAAAACTTTATCAATGACACCGTTTCATGATCTACACTCATATCGGGGGATTTAAGTCACAACTTTCTAAAAATGTGCAATTACATTACATTTGATTCAAATAATGCACCATGTAGTTCCACAACCTAAGGCTAAGATCTACAATTGTATGTACTTTCGTATTAAAGCTCTCTTTAACTGTTGCATGTTAGTTTCGAAAATGAAATAAAATGATATAGTTAAGAGACATATTTTTTGCTTTGTTTATAATGACCACTGACAGTATGTTCTCGAGTGGACCAATAAAGTCAAAATAGTAGAGATGCTATGTTTTGACCACTTTTAACATTCAATGGACTTTTTCTGCAAAATGAAAGCAACTGATTGTTTAAAATTAGCAAACAATTTACGGCAACATGAATGATAAAAGCATGGTTAATAATAACAATGTAATATAATAATAAAAGATAAATGAATAAATGAATAAAATCGATTGACAAGACTGACATATAATAATTAAGGGTTCAATGTCACGTAAAATATCAATGGGATGAAACCTAAATAGAAATATGCTTCTTGCATGCCTCTTCACCACTTTGTGTGTAATAACAAATGCCACACAGAAGATCATTTACCGTTTTCAACCACTGTCATTTCATACAGATCGTTCTCTTGCATGATCACTTCTTCTGGTGCTTCGTCCATTTCCGGTTCTGGTTTTGAACCGTTGCCTGCGGTTGGGTTTTTCTCTCGTGTGTCGTCCTCATTTCTCCCAGGGCTGGGGTTCATTACGCCTAATTCAGTATTCTCGTATGCTTGTTCTCTTGTCTCTGCATGTCTGTCTTCTACGGTCGTGTGGGATGGATCATCCATGGGCGATTCGTGAAGTTTCTTGGATTTTGACTTCTTAACCGGATGAGCATATAACTGGTCTATATTGTCTACATTGGATGTTTCACTGTCTTTTGACTCTTTACCATTTTCCAAAATGGGCGAGTCACGGCCTTGATTGATTTTGATGGAAGCATTTGTTTTGTCTGTCTTAATTTCTTTTTCTATCCCTTCATTTCCCTCTCCTCGAGCAGGCGGTGCCCCAATTATATCTACGTCCTCGTAGGCTTCGTTCCGAAAACCTGCCTCGGGCTTTGGACATAATAACGATTTGTAATATTGACCTTTTTCGGGCTTACCAGGACTCTTTGTCTCGTCACTTAATGGAACGTAAGACATACGGAAGTTCTCAACCGTGGCGCCGCCTATGTTTTCCTCTCCAAGATCTGACCCCTGCTTCTTTTGTTTCCCAAATGTCACGTGCTCCGGGCCGTTGTCATCTGCTGCAGCAAGAGATCTTTGACTTTTCACGGATAAACCTCGAAGCTTTCTTTCCAACCAAGCGTCCGCGTCAAAACGTCTTGTTCCTGCCCCTTCTAGTTGGTGCCTGTAATCAGTGAATCTTTTTCAAAGAAGCGTTACCTCTAATAATGCGCAACAAATATATGCAATATACAGTCTTGTGACAGAAATAATTTTGCTCTTAATCGTGTTCCATGATACTTGTACTTAAAAACGCAACTTGACGTGTATATGTTTCAAAATCAAACACGTGTACACACATGTTGTACATTTTTAATTTTTGTTTGTTCTTTTTTTAAATATCTGATTAAACTGCACGTTTGCATAGACAATCGGTGGGTTAAAAAAGAAAGAAAATATAAAAAATAATCTTGTTTCCTAAACAAAAAAAATAATAAAATAAAATAAAATAAAATAAAATAAAATAAAATAAAACATTCCGACAATGGCACAATACTCATTATTATTACCCTCGTCGCTTTTGGCAGCAAGCCACCATGATGATACCCGATATAAGGATCACAACCCCATAGCTACCAAGTACACTGATAAGTATGATACCTAAAATGAGAATATGACACACAGTGACCAGGACAACCACAATTAATAACGGTGTTTGAAAAACTGCAAAGTAATGAGGAGAAAACATTTCAATCAGTATTCTTTTTCTTTACTTTCATGAATAAAAAAGTCATAGCTCGAAAGGTCTACGAAGGTCACATGTTTAGTCAGATTTGCTTTAAAAGCTTAGCATCATCACATCGGGAAAACAACAACAACTACAAGAACAATAATAATAATAATAATAATAATAATGAATAAATGAATAAACACAATTGCACGAAAATATGACGAAGTCTATTTTGCCAACTTAGGCTGTATTCCCAAAGCTTTTAGATCGACCTATCCCCGCGGGGAGTCTCACTAGATTACTGTCAGATAATCCGGCTTAAATGTCCGTCCCGCCTACTACAAGCTGTAAGGGGGTAATAACTTTCGTGTCCGCTCGGCTGACAGCTATTTAGCGTGAACCCCCAGGGAGTTAGGTCGATCTGAAGTAGATCGATCTAATCTCCGGAAATGGGGTCTTAGGGAGTTTACCATGTAAGGGGTAGGATGAGTTCTATCGAAGTATGATAATAATGTTAAAATTTCACAGAGAAGCTCAACGTGTAACGTTTCTTATCAGCTGGAGAAACTTTATTTACGTGTACAGTCATGTTATGTTTCCATTAATGTGTCTTCAATTTATACCATATTTATACCATCATTTGTGTATTAGTTACAGTTGAAATAGTTGCTGTTTCAAATGTTGTCTTACCTGTCGTTGTAATTGCTGTTGCAGATGCTGCAGTTGTTGTTGTACTCATTGTTGTGGTTGTATTCGACGCTGTTGTTGTTGCACCCATTGTTGTGGTTGTATTCGACGCTGCTGTTGTTACACCCATTGTTGTGGTTATATTCGACGCTGTTGTTGTTGTATCCATTGTTGTGGTTGTATTCGACGTTGCTGTTGTTGTACCCATTGTTGCTGAAACTGATGTTGAATTCATTACAAACTACCCAAATTAATTTGCACAGGATACTGTGTCGTTTTGTTATCTAAGAAACCCCCACCATCACAACAAAGCAAGTAGAGAGGTATCTATAGACACACATTACCTTGATAGGTTCAGGTCTCGTATAATGAGTTATTTTTTAACAATATGTCATATAGAGTGAAGACGCAATAAGCATGCGTTTCGCTAAATCATGCGTACAATATACATCTGTTATTTTCACTGCTAAGCATCTATTCTACAACTTCATGGCAAAGGTAACTAACTTAGGCTTTTAAAAACTATCAGAATGCTATAATAACTACAATTAATGATTACTTTAATAATGAGTATATACATGTAAGTATATTTACCTGCAATTGATGCAAATAATCTTATTATAATTAATAAAACCGCCATGGTGCCCCAGATCAACTTTCCTCGATATCTTGACAGTCGGTGATAAAATAACCACCCGGCCCACTGCTAGTTAACTAACAAGGAAGTAACTTGCAGTTTACCTCTGGTTAACGGGTCATTTCTTGCGACCCGACCTAATTTGTAACTACGCAAATATATTTCTGTTTTGAAATAGCACAAAAAACGATTGGCTCAAAGGATCAATGAGCCCATTATTCAGTACGCAGGTGAAGGGTAGTATAAACTCAAGACAGGTAGTGGAGAATCGAGAATGGTGTTTTTCATTCTGTTGATTGTGTAGTGTTATAGGCAACTGTCCCACTTTCTATATATATGGTGTAGCTCTGTATCATTCAACATAATGGAGTTGTTTGTGCATCATACAAATATCATATATGCAATAAAAGCAAGCACTGCATTGCAATATCAGTGGACTATATGCTTTTATTTCATTCTGACACCTTTTCTATACTCACGAATTCCCACTCGTCAATACGCATTTTTTTAATCTTTAAAAAGTCAAATTCTGAATTTTTCCACCTATTTCAATTTAGACGTGGTTCATTTTTTACCAGCTCCATTAACTTATAATTGTGTTCTGTGTGCTTTTTCATATCTTCCTATCTCTGTTGTCAACTTATGATTGTGCCTCGCCCATATAATATGAATGGCAGTGTAACGCAAAGAAATACCCACTGTTTAGTCCCTGGCACGGCTCAGCCCTGTAATAGCTGTAGCTAGTTTTACAACTGTGCTTTGTCAGCAGTTTTTCGTGCATTTTATTATTCCTCTGAAGGTATTTCCCTTGCCCTTAAGCTTGTTATGATATCTCATTTTGTTGTCAGTTAAAGTATTTTATCAGTCCACACACATCAGGTATGGGTTTTTAAAATCCTGTTTTTGTTTCAATTTTAATGTGAAAGAAAAGTTTTCTTTAGTCCTATTCTCCGATTGGTTTTTGTCCCCTGGCCATTTAAAGGTATGCGTCACGTCAGCGAGAGAGCATGTAAATTGTAATCCAATTTAAATCGGTTGGCTCTGTCTTTACATGTCTGTCTTTACGAACCCATTATGTGTAGGGAATATCTATATATCTATTTATTTACCTGTCACAGAGTAATTACATACAGGTAGCAACACTAGTGTAATTTGAGTAGAGTGTGCATGCATATTATTTTATTT